CTAGGAAGTAACAAGGATAAATAGTTGGAGGACATCACCCAGGTACTTGCAGGGTGCTAGAAGGGAGAGTCCAAGTCAGGATGTGTGGTTCAAGACATCATCACGAGTTCAGAAACTAGAGGACCAATCCCTTAAGATTAAAGGTGTTCCAAGTAACATTGTAACTGGAGCTTCTAAATCTCAACATCTTCACATGGAGTTTTTACAAGAAGAAATTTTAGACTCAAATCCCCTCCAGAACCTTAGTTTTGCGGTATTTTTTAGATTTTTGTCACAATTGACAATATATGGTATGACAGAAAATTGCAGACTCTTTTGGTGGAACCCAATTAATCTCACAACGGCCATAGTCCAAATTTTCTCTATACTTAGGAAACCCTTCTCTTCCACCCTTATTCATTGCGTTTAAAAATATTAAAAGTAAAATCCGTTGACTTGATAAATCCTGAGGGTTCAAGACCTCTGTCCCCAAAAAAGGGCCCGCTCGACTCCCTAATTGTTGATTGGTGGATGGAAGTACCAAGGATAGTCTGGTGGTATTTTATAGTTGATCACGGCTACATTTAGGAGTAAGAAGTTCCTCACACTTTTCATTTCATAAAAATAAGTGGGAGGTGGCAGTACGGTTTCCAGGAGATAGATTTAAAAAAAAAAAGGTAAGAGCTCTGCCCGAATAACTATCATCTACTTTTATAGACCGCATCGTCCAAGAAATGAAAAGGCTTTCTAGGTTAGCAAATGAGTCTAAAGTACTCAAATTATCTTCTTTCAATCCAGACTCACTTAGATAAAAAAAAGGATCCACGAATAATTCACAACTCAATTTTCAAATAACCAATCTTTCTCAACAGATGGTTTATCTTCGGTCTTTTTTGCATCAAAATCGATACACTAAGGATAAGGAAAGCGAGAAAACAAGCATGGCATAAACTTGATCAACAGTGAAAGTGAAAGAAACAACACCTCAACTTCAGACCAGTCTTTAGAACCACCCCAATAGTCTTGTGATTGTCTTGAGGTCTCCGTAAGTAATCTACAAAAACCAATTGAAAAAAAAATAACAAAGTTGACTTTTTCTTTCGTGGGTTATCAAGAAAATCATTGATAAAGATGTTGGGGATTGAACCTTTCAATCTGATTGTAAAGCTGGATTGCCGAAGACGACGAAGAAGAAGAAGATGGTGATGGTTGTGGTGGTTTCTTGACGGGGTCTTCATAAGTACAGAAGATTCTGCTGCTTCTGGTATTACGTTTACGGGGACCATTTGCCGCCAGTAAATGAACAAGTTGATTTTTATGATCGGAAAAACCGATGAGGCGATGGTGGGACTGAATCAGATGTTGATGAGCACTCCATATGCAGCAACTCTCCATTTGAATTTAGTCCAAAATTCAAATTCAAAGAGAGGCTAAGCTCCCTTCCTGATGGTTATTGTACGGTACTACTGTTTGTTTCTGCTAAACTAAACTCAAGTCCGATTGTAAGAATTAGACAACTAACTACTTCCTTCCTTGTTTTCAACTACGTATATGTTATCGTCTGTTTCGGAACACCCAGGCCGGAGGTGGGATTTCCTTCTTCTGAGTTCTGAAGGTTGAAAACTTCAATTTCAAGGATCCATCAATAATCCCAAATGTCATGAATAATTTCTCTGTCTACTTGAACTTTGACCATTTGCTTGGGATGTTTTTGTTTCTGCGGTGGCGTTTAAAATATTTTGCATTTTTAAAATATTAAATTAATTTTTTTATATTTTTAAATTTTTTTAATATATTAATATTAAAATTAATTTTATAAAATTTATAAAATATATTATTTTAATATATTTTAAAATAAAAATAACTATAAATTTTTTTATTATTAAATTCTCGATCACTCTATTCATTTTCATCCCTCCTATCTCAATTGGACAACCCAACACTCCTTCTCTTGGCTCTATTCTATAGCCTATAAGTTTCTGCCAGTTGTCACAAGGGAAAATTGCATTTTGAAACTCAAATTTTTATTTTTTTTTAGGAAAAGTTCCGGAGACACAACATTGCATTAAGTAAATAGAATATTTTTAAATTTAGATAAATCATTTGGTTAAAAACTTAGTTATTGACCCAACCTAACAACCTGAAATCTGGATAATTCAGAGCTTTAGCCTGGTCAGAAAAAGAAGAAAATTAGAGTTGCAGTTTGTTCGTGGAGACCCGAGCAACTTATCAAGTAAATCTAGGACCCGTATGATCCACTACAACTCGACAAAAACTCGATTCTATTTGTTAAGAAGTGGAACAAATTCTCTCGAGTGATTGCTACTTTTAATGGATGGGTGCTTCTTTTTGTTTTACGAAAGGTGAGTGTTGTTTAAGGAGGGGAACCAAAGGTTTTCGATTTGCTTCGTCTAATCTTATGCATGCAAGCTTATCATTCTTTTTTTATTAGTTACGAGCTCTTATCAAAATTCATAGAAAAAAATTTATTTTTTTAATGTATAATTGAAAGTTTATTAATATATATATATATATATTTTATATTCATAAAAAAAATTGTGTTTTTTCAATGTATAATAATAATTTTTTTTTATTTAAATACTTCATTTTAAAAAGAAAAGAGAATAATTTTTTAAAAAGAAATAAAAAATCTTTTAAAATAATATTTTAAACTTTTTTATTTATAACATATATAGTCTATGAATTATTTCTTAATTTTTCTATGTAAAATATTAAAATTTAAAAAAAAATTAATTTTTATGGATTGGTCCCTTCGTTTGAGAGGATTATTTTTCACTTTTTTTTAGTTTTTTTTTTTTATTTTATAATCCCATGATATCTCCGGATTAGTTTTTTAGTATTGAAATTAAGTTTATTTTTTTAATTTTAATGAACAAAAATCCATCTATATTAAAACGAAAATCTATTTTTTGATTAATTAAAATTAATAAATAAATTATGTATTTATTTAAAAATTTTGATTATTGTAATTTGTAACCAAATAAATGGATATTGCATGATATTTTAGTTTGATAGAATAGCTTGCTTCAATAATAAAATCAAGATTCAAACCTTAGTAACTAGGATTGGTTTACTACATGACAACAAGTAAGGGAGGCGTGGGAAATATGCCTTCTATAAAATTTGAATGAGAACTAGAAGTTCATATTGACACTAACATGTCCATAACCAAAATAATTACATCTAGAGATGTTTATTTTAAGAGTATTATTTTCCGTCTTCTGGCACACTTCGATGTATTTTTGTTTCCTGTTCTTTTTAGAGTTGCTATATCTTGATGTAAACACCGCCTGTTGCAGCTATAGACTCGCCTGCTTTGCTGGACGCGTCCAAAATTCTCTAGTCCGGCAGCAGCTGATAACACTCTGAGGAAATTATACTCAATTTGACATATTTAATGGAAGGTCAACATTCCCTTACGAAGTAGGCTTAAGGGGGAGAAAATATTGCCTCCATGTTAAAGGGCTATGAGGTGAACACTTTAAGGGTTAGTGAGTGATTCCATACACTATGGATGCATTTCTGTTGTCATTTCAAATAATCGCGATCTTCCATTTGCTGACGTCTTGGATTGGAGCAAGTTCTCTGTTATCATCAATCAACGAGATATTGCGTTCTTGAAAACAAAATTGTTGTCTAGAACAAGAGATACGTACGTAAGAAAGTTTATCATATTAATTTCTGCAGCTTATCATACTAATGACAATATCCTATTCTGAGATTCAGATCTTTCTATACCCTGAGAGTTCAAGTCAGGTAGGGAAATCGAAGCCGTTTCTTGCCAAACAAATCCGGCCTTTAGATGTGGTGAAAGATTAGCTCTTTAGCTTCTAAGATCTCAACTGTTGCCGTCATCTGTAATCTGTCTTTGACCCCCGGTAAACAAAACACATTGGTGTCGAGCCGAGTTTTTATCGGGGGGGCAAGCCTCCACAATTGATCATACCTCCAAAGGTGAAGAATTTTGCGTAAGATGTCTTATGATATGCTCCCCACAAAGGATGAACTACCGCTGAAAGTACAGATTAAAGATTGATCATGCTATGCTATTGCTACAATGAATCCAATGAGGAAGGCGTTCACATCTTTCCCAGCTGCACTGTGACCTCAACATTTATGGACTAACCTTTCATTCCAGCTCGAACAGAGTACAATGAAGGGTTGATGCGTATCTGCTTGGACAAGTATGGGATGGAAGAAGCCAACCGATTTCTGAGAACAAAAATACCTGGACAACGGAGCCCTGACCTAGTTCGCCAAAAAGCCTCTGCATTTTGGATGGCTGGCCTAGCAAGAGAGCAGGCAGTCCAAACCTAAGGGCTTGCTATTCTGTGCTTTGCTCTTGATTTAAACATATTTGGTTAATTAGATTCCGTTAAAAATTCTCTTTGAAGCTAGCACATGATTAGAAGCCACCAGGGAACAAATTATAATCGAAGAAATCTTTAATCTTTTTATGCGTTCGAAGAATCCCAGCAATAACAAAATAAGCTCAACCAACCATGCAGAAATCATGCATTTATAGGACATCCAAGCCTAATCAGCTTTCAACATTCAACTAATTTTTATGCATCAAACCTGGTTCTGTTAATGCCACCATTAAAGCAGAAATCTGCAAAGACCATTAAACCTCACTCAAGATAGAAGCTCGCGCTAAACTTCTCGTGTTCAACAACCCAAAAAAAAAAATACAAAGACCAACGCCCGAAACACACTTTTCCCTCTAGACCAGCACAAGCTGCACTTTAAAAGATAAATGGGGCGGGAATATTTCTGTGTTGCCGATCTCCACCATCAACATTTTCAACTTACAAGAATGTTGCAGACCTAGAAACGTGCGCCCACCATCAAATTCCATGTTTTCAGTTTCAGCTGGCAAGATGACCGACTCTGAATATCTCAAATCTCGATATTCTTCGCCGGTCTATCCTCAAAAACATTAAATGCGAGTACCGTAGGGTGGGGATTACACATATAATTACCGAAGACAAATAAAAGGATGTAGAGTAATTTAGCACTTTATAAATGGATAGGTAATGCACATAGACACAGCACAGTAGTTGTATTTAGTTTGGATTGATTATACACAGAGTCTTTTGCTTGGAAATTGGAAAATAGAAATCACATTGTACGTTCAGCTGAGGATGGCTGGTAGGTGCGACGCCTCAGCTCAGACTGTGGAGTGGGCTGTTGCAAAAAGATTCTTGTTGGATCATTAGGATCAACATATCTGCAAAACATACCACAAGTTTTAATCAACAAGAGATCTTAATCTTACAAACAAAAATTATATGACGTATTATGTCACTTACGCATGTCTCATCATTTCATCAACTGGAGTTTGCGCTGCTTGCAGAGGATCTATCCAAGGTCTTGGTGCAGAGTTCATTTGTTGATTGTATTGTCTCACCGCCGAGATCAAGTTGAGAAAAAGTGGAACAAAGGTTCCACATCCCCCTTCCTTGAACAAAATTTTGAACGAGTGAGTGGAGTAGAGAGCCCTATTCTCAGTCTCTGGAACTACCTGAAGTTTCATATCAAGACAATTAGCTTACACAGAAATAAGTGCTGATTGTAGAAGAACGCCTTTTCACTGTTACACTTACAGGTTCCACGAAACCTGAAATATTGTTGCAGTGAAATATAGGTTGGTTGAATTTTTCTTCATGGATAAAGAGCTGCATGACAGAGTAATTTCAGAATAAGGGTCACGAGAAAGCCCAAAGAGTAGATATCCAACGGACCTAAAAATAATAACGTAGAATCTACATGCTTGGAATCAACCATAGCCTAAAAACTCTGAATATAAAAATGACTGAAGGGTTGTTCGAATCACTCCAGTTTTCGGCTTTTGTTACGATGCCTGCTTCCACTTCTCAAGAAGGGGAACGCATTCAGCGAGAAGAAATTACCAATTGAACAAATTTAGAGGGTATGTAATGAGAATTATACCATCGGTATGGATCCACACTGCTTAGCTGCTAAAAACAAACAGCTTCATCTTTCTTTGCCAAGAGCTTTAGAAGTATCAGATGTCAGGTAATAGCATTGCCTAAATTTGATTATTACAAAATGCAAGATTTGAACAAGCTAATCGAAACCCAATCACCTCTGACGAAAACACCAAACAGCTAATATCTTGTCAACATGAAATCCAATGCATGAGTTGTATCTAAAGTAATACAAGAAAGGGAAAGAAGACTCAACCAACCAAACGAAAAGGTTCAAGGAAGAGGGAGTCAGAAGAATTGCATAGACGATTGGGTACCAATATAAATATTCATCGGTTACTTACAAGAGGCATGTCAAAAGCATAGAAATTTCCAACAGGCTGAGATGCAACAAAGACCATCCGTATATTAGACAAGTAGATTGTTCCCTTAGCTTTAACTTTTCCACATCTGCAGCAGCAGCAAAGGGTTGCATAACCCATTAAAACCAACAAAGACCGTTCGTAATTCCCTTTAAGAAAATAGACTTCATTAAAATTTCAAAAGAAATAAAAAATAAAAAAAAATTGGAGAACATTTGTGAGTAAAAAAAGAAAAAGAAAAGAAAAAAACAAACCCGGGAATTTTGTCGACCTCGAATTCGACGCCGTCTCTGGCCAATACAAACAACTCGTTCTCGAAAGGAACGGGCATCCCGTTTGGATACAATTGCGGGTTAAGAGCCATCTCTCTATTCGTCTTTTCAATTGTCGATTTTTCTGCAGATTCAAATCAATTCAATTCTCCAGAGTTCATAGAGTTGCATTTTATAGGGAGCACCGAATCTGAATAGTATTAATATATAAAAGTCGCGTGGGCGCTACCTCCTTCTGGATCCACCTGGAAACAAACTAGCCTGATGACATGTTGTTTTGAGAGATTATTTCATATTACACAAACTAATGGGCCCATAACAAGGCCCATATAATGTGGACATGAACCGGTTTCTGTTTTATTTATTTACTATCGGTTTTATCATTTTATTATTACGAACAAAATCATTGTGAGGACTGAAAAAAGCGCCATGTTATAAAATATCATAAAATAAAATATTGAGTGGTATTTAATTAAATAATAAAAGATATAGCAATTAAATAAAATTTTAAAAATAATTATGAAAGATTGTGAAAAAAATATGCTATTATCACAAAAAAAAAAAGTTATGACCAACTAAAATTGCTGATTTGACCTCAAAGTGTTTCAAGCCCTCGTAATTTTATTTGGGTTATTTTTATATTTTTCCTTTTTTTTCAAATTATGTATTTGAATTTAATTTTTTTTTGGTTTATTTCATTTTGTTTTTGCTAACAGCTATGACAATATGAAATATAATGGCCAAACTCTTTACAATTATAACTTTGAATTTCTGAAATATCATACCTCTAACCTGATCGACCACTACGGCCTCGGCCTCTACCACGTCTTCTTAGAAAATAATTTAGATTGTCACCATGTCCGTCGTGAATTTTATGGATTCTATGTGACCTGCCACCTCTTCTTCTCCTATAAAAATCTCTGACTCTTTAAAAGCCCCCTCCATGAAGGGCGTACTTGGATAAAAAAATTATTTTGTTAAAATATTTTTTTATATTTTGGATTGGGTTAATATATTAATTTTAAAAATAATTTAAAAAAATAAAAAAATATTATTTTAAAATATTTATAAATAAAAAATATTTTAAATCACAACTATCATTACAATCTAAATAAATTCTTAATAGTTTCCTTCAAACTGAGTTTTACTTGCAATGTTTGTTTTAGTAATATTCCTTTGTTTTTTTTTTTTCAATCTTCTGCTCAAAGGTTTAAAGAAAACCTATAAATTCTTTTATGTCATGTTTTTTAGATCTTTTAACTTTTCTATTTAAAGATCCCAAAAATTTCTCTATTACCTGAACACCATCGATATTTTCTTATTTTTTTGTAACGTACAACTCAAATTACTTTGCAAACTAGGCAGAAATGAATTTTATGCTTTTAAAATTTTAAAAGAAAATTTATTTCTCCAATAGCCTGGAATCCTATCACCAATGTTATGGATGAAAAATCTTAAAAGAAAATTTATTTTAAAATTTTATTTTCATTCAAAAATACCATAAAAATCTATATAAATTATCCAAATCAATCACAAAATTAAAAATCAAACGAATCCATAAAATCAAGGGTAAACCTGATTTGTCTTCCCAATTATTATTTTTTAATAAAAAATCACCTTTAATGAATTCCTCTCTATAAGAGAAATCTATTAACACAAAAATTCTGTTTTTGTTTTATAATATAGTTGAACTGGGGCCAAACAACAATTTTCTTTCTCTTTCGTAAGTTTCCAGCAAATTTTTCTTTTTTTTCTAACTCAATGATTGAAAATTAAATAAATAAATAAATTTTTTGATTAAAATAAAAATTATAAGAATTTTGAGATTTTTTCCATGTTTATATTTTAATCCTCTCACTTTAAATTTTATCTTTGTAATTCAATTGAAAACTTTATCTCATGAAATTAAATTTAAAAATAATCAAATAAAAAAATTAAGAATAAAATTTAAAAAAAATAGCTGGTGCTTCATTATTTGTAAACACGAAGTACAGTAAAAAAAAATGCCGGTTTTTTTTTAGTTGAGAAAGTAATTTAAATGAACAGAAATGAAAAGGCAAGAAAATTCAGGTAAAAAGAGACCATGACGGTGTTGGACAGGCTTCCATTAACAATAGTTTTGTTAATGAAAAAAAGAGGGATGATGGAATGTAAGAGCTGGGAAACTAACCATGGAACTGGAGGTTTGTTCAATGTAGCTTTGCCTCCGGCAGTTCAATGCTCCCCTCTGTCTATTACCACCAACCCCTTTGCAGATACAATTGCTGCACTGCAACTGAATCTCTCATCCCTACATAAAATTGAATGCGCAAGAAAGTGCAAACTGATTAACAGTCAGGATTAAGAACAGAAAGGGAACAAAAATTTTAATCCATTAAATCGCTGCCTGATCCATGCTTTTCTTTTTTTGGGTTGATTTATCAATAAAGACTTGTGACACACGAGTTAATGCAAGTTTTTTTATATATATATTCCCCAAAAATCAGTTAAAGAAGTATTTATTACCATTCTTAAGATATTTTATTATTTTATAAAATAATGAAAAATATGATTTTTATTAAAATAAAAGGTTTTCTTTGCTTCTCACTTTATGAAGAATATCTTTTAAACTGTCACATTTGCCTTGTGATAGTTTGAAATCTTAAAAAATAGACAAGTTCAATGATAAAATTAAGAGATAATTATATAAACTTTCTATAGTTCAATTTAATTTCACTCTTTCTGTGCTTTAATAAATTACATTTTATTTTCTGGATAAAACAAATCAAATAAAATGTATTATTAAGGATATAAACTATTATAAACATATAAACTAGAGGATGGAATGTATCAATTATGAAAGTGTAGAAAGAAAATGTAATTCTAATCAGACTATAGGAAAGTTTTTATAATTATTTCTAAAATTAATCACGATTTTGTATATGATAAATTATGTTTAAGAAAATCGATTCATGCCCGTGCAAACGCGCATGTCAAAACGGTCAGTACGTATATAAGGACGCAGGGCTTCCGCACTAGAACATATATCTCGACACGATAAAAATAAAACAATAGAAGAAAACTCGGCCGATCACGCAAGCAACATGAAGAAAATGCTCTGAGCTCCAAGCAGGAAAAAAGACAACAAATCGAACAAGAGACAGAAGTCACTTGACCACAAAATTACTTCTGAATTTTGCACATCAATAACTAATATTTTATTTGATCTTACAATATAACCATACTTTAAAAAAAAAAATTAATTTTAAATTAATTTTTTTTTATATTTTTAAATTATTTTAATATGCCAATATTAAAAATATATGATTTTTAAAAGTATACATATTATTTTAATACATTTTCAAAAACAAAAACACTTTCTAAAAATAATTTTTATTTCACTCTAAAAAAAACAATAACATGCTAAGCAAAGTCAAATGTCTTTTGAGTCCACAAACCACAACTGGGGCATCACAGTTTTCTCAACATCTCTCAGCTCCTGCAAAGCCTGACACGAAGCATATGATTCCCAACAACTGACTAGATAAGATCCACTCAAATTGAATCATGTATCTACTAGACTACTTCTAAGTATCACACGAGATTTCAGATTATCAAAAACTCTGGCAGTTATTCCAAAAATCTGATGGCCGAAATGTGCTAATCCAACCTAAATTGATAATAAAGCTTTTCAGTATCTCTCTCCAAACCGGAAGAACACTGAACCATTGCCAGTGTTATGATCAACAGCATACTCAGCTCGAACTAAACCCAGCTTGACACCAACTCCATAAGATGAACCATGACCCATTCGCCTGTAGACCTCTGTTGGGTTCCCCTTCACATCCTTAGAAGTTCCTAGATCGTTGCCATGCTCTGCAAATGCATAAACATGTGTATTTCTCACAGGTATGCGTATCTCCGCTCCAAGCTGCAAGCAACATTGAAAAGAGGGATCAGATAGCTGACAGCAAGTCCAAATCTATGGATTGTGGGAACAATCATATTTTACCATCTGCAAACAATTAGTTCTTGCAAGGGTTCCATTTTCAGAAGAAACATCAATTAAGAACAAGCTAGAACACAGTTCATCTTGATCCTAGGTAAAATGTTGTCTCCAGTAAAACTTACCTCAAGAATGTTTCTGGCTGCTCCCAGCTCACCCATATTGTAACCCCTCACAGAATAAGGTCCCCCGAGAGTAAAAGCATCATAACTCGGAAGGTCTCCAACACAACCACCATAATGGCCATTTAGTACTAGTACAGGTGGTGGTGGTTTCCCAGCACCTTCCTCCACCTCCTTCAACTGGATAAATCGGGTCAATGTCAGCTGGTGACGGTTGAAGAATGGAAACTTGCTGCCAATGCCAAGGCCTTGGTCCACCTGCACTTCATACATAAAATATGTAGGTTACCCAGGCAGTGAAGAGTTAACATATGAAAATCACAAGAATGAGAGTAGCCGAATGTTCATGTACAGGAGTAAAAACCCAGTGCTCATTGTCAGCCCCAAATTTGCATGAGCCCCTACGATTAAATCAAACCATAAAATATCCACCAAACTCACAAACCACGCAAGGAGGCTCTTGAATACAAGAAATAAGGGTCTATGGCAACTCAAACAACCAGGTCTGGTTTGTTCTCAACCAATCCTAGAAAGAAAATGGAATCATCCTTCAACTAATCAGATCATCGGATCAGCTAATTTCTGATTAGAAAAAAAAAAGAACTATGAAATTTAAAAACTGGCTCCACCATTCTCAATAGTACTGCTGTGGTTCCCAAAACAACCCATAAATTAACAAAAGATTTTCTGACCTGGAAAACGTTCCTATCACCAACTACAGCTCCATTTACAAACTTGGTGTTGTCACGCGTGATGTTGGCCTGTAAGAATGCCATCCGGTCAACGCCAGTGCCACTGAGAGTTGTTGGAGGTCCATCTGCACTAATTCCTCCACTTGGCAATACTCTTTGACCATTTGAAGAGATATGGCTACTTTCATCGCTTGTTGTTATCTCCTCCATCACAATCCCATAGGTGAATTTGCTCTGACGGGTAAAATTCTGTTCCACGCATAACATATATCCACTCATTAGGAAATCATTTTATTGAATTTAAAGATGTTTTCGAGCACCTAGATTTGGACATAGGAGAACATTCACCTCTGTAATGTTAGCTTTCATGCCAGTCCGGTCAACCCATATCGGAGGGACTTCATCCACACCTGGACCACCAGTAAAGACTGGACTTAGTTTCCGGATGTTGAAGCAGCTTGCACGGAGAGTTTGGTTTCGTGAACTATATACACCATCCAAATATGGATGAACATACTCAAGCTTAAAAGACAGATCCTCCTGAGGAAACTCCATGGGACATTCAGTAATGAAATCTCACATAAATTGGTAACAAACCATTCCTGAAAATTATTGAGAAAAGGAAATGTATCTTCAAGAGAAATTACCTGAGCCGAAAAGAAATTGCTGGTGGTTATAGAACCAAGAATGGACCGATTCAACCCTTTGATATTCCGATGTTCAAAGGAAACAGTTCCACCAGGCTGGAATGAAGCCTGAAAAGGAGGGATATGGCATTAAATAGGAATTTTGGCATTTAAGATTTATAACCCTAATAACTACAAGCAAGTTCAAATTGCATAACTGGATATACATACTAATGTGGGACGTCCTCCACGTCCAGGAACAATGCTCCACTCTGTACTGACTTCAGCCGATTTAGGCTCCAATTCTTTAAGCTTGATCTCAACAATGATTCCTCCCTCATTCTTCTCATCTGGCCTCGGATTGACTTCAATGTTTGAAAACAAGGCTAGGGAGTTGATGTTCCTCAGAGCTTGTTTCCCAGCTTCAATGTTAAAAACTTGACCTTGTCGAAGCTGTTGTTACCAATTAAAAAATGCAAAATAAATCAACCTAAAAAATGAACAATTAGCAAAAGTTCATTATATTAAAAAGTCAGCAGTATAAAAAAGGAGGCATTGTCAATGGAGGGGCAGATTATGATAGACCATCCTTTATCTATTTCACCAAACACTGTCATTAAGTATTTGTAACATGACTGGTAATGCAGTAAAGCACAAAGAGCATGAATTCTAGAGTTTCTATGTGTGAGGATCACAATAGATTGTTGAACAGTTAATCATCAAATGGAAATAGAATTTAAGAATCTGTCTTTTCATGTCTTTTGTCCATAATATGGAGAAAATTTTTAGAGGAGAGCAGATTGATGAAGATTTATACATGCACTACAGAAAGCGGCAGCAATCTTGTCTGTTCACAATTTACTAGTATTCAGAGACCTGATTTGATGTGATCATATACCCATGCTCTGTACTCAGGTATCTACAGTTACTGCTGAACAAAGAAAAAAATAACTAAGCTAGAACCACAGCTTAGATTGTGCCCTAAACTCAATGAAGCATCCGCATGCATAGACAATCAATAGGCACCTAGCTAACATACAGAGGCAACAAAAAAAAAACATTCACCTGTTTGGGCAACTCTCTCTTGACAACAGGAAGTTGTGTGACATTCACCTGTTTGGGCAACTCTCTCTTGACAACAGGAAGTTGTGTGTGCCCTTCAACAACGTTCCCCAACTTATCCAGATACTGAATAACCAATTGAGTAACATCCCCTTCCACAACCTCACAAACCACCTCCTTAGTATTCAAATTCCCAAAATTAACAACTTGAGCACAAGCATACCCCTCGTCATGATACCATTTCTGCACTCTATCTCTAATCTTCTGCAACAACCGTGCACTAACCTTCCCCTGCTCCCTCAACATCTGCAAAACCTCCCTATGTACCTGCGTAGGCAACAAACATGGCCTTGCCCTCTCAATCCTCCTCCTATAATCCTTCTCCTGACTCCTATAATACTCCAACTTCTCCTTATCAGTCATATCTGAATCCATTTCGATCGGCTTCGATTGCTGCATTAATCCAACATTAATGCACCTAAACTTATCAGCTGATTGCCATGTGCTTTCAGTGAAGGAAATTGTGATCCCTATAGTTCCATCAGGATTTGTCTTTCCTTCCATATCCACTTTCTCGAACATTCCGCAAGTAGCTAGACTTTCAAGTTCCTTTTGTAACTGAGCTTTCGTGTAAACTCCGCCAGGACGGAGAGAAACCATCTCGAAAAACGAGTCTTCCGTGCCTATAGTAGTCCATCTTCGCCGGTCGAAGAACAGAATTTCTGATAGTTTGTATTTTTTGAAACCGCTAAGCTTGTTTAATTGAACAACAATGTTGGCTGGCAATCCGTGTGAGTCCCAATCTTCCGATTGTGACTCATCGGCATTCGCCGGCGCTTCAAAAAACAGCTGCTTCCAGAACTCTCCTCCTCCTCCTCCGTCCCCGCCCCCTCCTCCTCCTCCTCCGCCTCCACAATTGCCTCCACCGCCGTCGATGACGGGGGTGAGGCGGAAAAAGATACTGGCGGCAGCGGCGGTGCCGGAGAAGGTGAGGGCTTTAAGGAGGGAATTTTGGATTTTTGGTTGTTTGGAATTGGAGTTGGAGTTGGAGTGGGGTTTAGGGTTTAGTGGTGAAGGGGAAGAAGTGGGGGAAAAGAGATCGCATTTGATGGAGGATGCGCGTGGATTGAAGCTGGCGCTTTGCTTTCTGCGGGAGGAGAGGATGGCTGTGTTGGGAAGGAGGTTGCTGGATGCGGTGAAGGACATGGTTTTTGGAGAGGGAGAGGGGGGAGAAGGAATGACTGCTATCAAGATAGATAGCTCAACTCCTCAAGTAAAGTGTGCACTCGTGTTTTCTTTTTTTAATTAAGTTCAAGTTCATAGGGTTGGTCTTGGTTACGTAGGAGAAATGAAAGGGAAAAAAAGGGAAATATCAATCTAGCCCTTATAAATTGCATTGGAAACTAATTTGACTTCTCATAGTCTAAGCTTCAATCTGGATTATAATCTTCAATTTAATAAACACTCAAATAATTCTACAATAGAATGTTTTATCCAAATATCTGCTCTGACAAAATCTCATGTATGCCATAAAACACAATAAACCTTAGGCATTTTGAAAACCTCAAATCATAAACCCTAACTATTTTGTATTAAAAGTTTAGCGATGCGTATTTCTATGTTCTTAAAATCTTAAGTCTGTGTTGTTATTGTTCGTTTGTTAATATAATTATAATTATTTTTTAAATAATTTTTTATACTATAATACATGTTAATAATATTTTTTTATTTTAAAAAAATTATTTTTGATATTAATAAATTAAAATAATTTAAAAATATTAAAAACATATTGATTCAAAGTTAATAAAAAAATAAAAAATAATTTTCTACCTTTTCACTTGAAAAAAATAAATAAAAAAGATCTGAATTATTAAAATCTAAGTGTTAAAAATGTAGGAGTTTGGATTATGCAAATAAAATATCCGGTAAAAAGCCTAAAAGGGATGACATACTGTTTATCACATTTTATTTTTTAATATTTTTGGTAAAGTTGTAATATTATTTTAATAACAAAGTTGTCTTTTGTTATTAAATAAATAATAATAATAATCATGTAAATAATCAAATATTTATTACTGATTTTTTTTAAAAGTATTAAATGTTAAAGCATGTATAAATTTCAAGATATAAAATATAATTTTTTAAAGTATAACGATAAAATAAACGAGATTAAACCTTAAAATAATCATGTCAAAATGTTTTTAGCTTTGAAAAATATAAAATTAAGTTTTAAATTTTTTTGATATATTAATACAAAAAAATATTTTAATATATATATTTTTAAAATATTTTAAAAAAACAACATATATTACAAGAGACACAGAGTTTGATAATCAAAGCGGTTTGTGATTTGTTAGTGAAAAAAAAAGAAGGAAACATGTGGCTTTTCGCTATGTTGGAAAAGTTGGGGTAAATTGAACAAGAAAATGAATTACAGGGGGCGAGATTTTTGGAAACAAAACAAAGAGGGCAAAATAGGGTTTTTGTAATTTTGAAAAGAGGTCTTTTATCGTTCTTATTATCAAGTGAGAGGAGGAAGTGGAGTTGAGCCGCTTGCTCGCAAAGGCAGAGGAGGAAATCGAACATGGGACGCGCTATTCTGTCTCACTTTCTCATCCTTTCAAACTCCGCACCTCAACTCTCCTCTTCTTCAATGTACGCTCTCTCTCTACGCTCTATATTTCATGCAGTTACTTTGTTGCGTATTTAAATAGTATGTCGCCTCTCTACTCTCACATTCACTCCCTCTCCGATTTCAGTTCAAAATTGAATGGCTTTGCAAGTAGAAGTGTGCGAATTCGACAAAATTCAAAATACAGCAACGGTTTCCGCTGCTATTGCGACGTCTCGCACTCTCAACAAACTTCTCCTGAGGACTCTCGAACCTCTGTGACTGTAAAGTAATATATGACTCGAATTATCGCCTTTTTGTTTTGCTAGCTCGGAGCTGTAAGCTTTTTTTTTAAATTTAATTACTTGATTTTTATTTTTATTTTTGTTGACAGGAAGAGGATAGTGTCTGGAGTGCAACCAACAGGATCTGTTCACCTAGGGAATTATCTTGGTGCCATTAAGAACTGGATTGCTCTTCAGGTTCTTTTTTGGCTACTATTTCTTTTCCTTTTTTTTAAAAAAAAAAAACTGACTCAGTTTCTTGACATGATTTGCTATAACTGTTGCAGAATACATACGAGACTCTCTTCTTCATAGTAGACCTCCACGCGGTATGTAGTTTCCAAACTTCATATTCAGAGTAATTTTAGATTTCATAGATTCTATGTAGTGCAACTGAGCTGAAGGAAGAATTTGTTTGATGTTTAAAAATTAGGAAAATTTGTTTAGATGTCTGCATTGCTTTAGTCCTATTTGTTTAGCATTCTTTTTAATAAGTTTTTGAATTTCCATTGATTAGCCTTGCAGTTTTTATAATGTTAGGACTTATCCCCTGATTGGCTACGTGGGAAACTTGTCGATGCTTTATTTTTTTGAATATTAGGATACTTATAGTAGGGGATAGCCTGCCTGCTTTCGCTGCCCAAATCAAATCATAAATAGATAAATGTGAGACTTAAGGTACCTTTTGGTGTGAAGGGGTTAGAGAGTTCAATCTGGGGAGAAAGCCGGTGAAGAGAGGGATCGTTTGATTTAACCAATTGGAGAGTGAGAGAATAGTCATCCCAGGCCAATCTTGGGAAATGATTCTTATCAAAATTTACACTCTCATGTAGGGTTAGTGCTAGGACATTTATGTTTTTGGCATATTTGATAGAATGACTTGCCTCACTCTGAATTTGGGAGCTATTTATTTCTATATATTTTCAAGTTGAAACTGTTGTGTTTGCTCAACTTTTAAAGAATCACCTTTCTTGATAAACATGTAGAGCACAGGGGGCGCATATATACATTTATAACAATACTTTTGCCTGTCACGTCTTTGGATTGTGTTTCTGTGGTGGGGGGTTGGGGGAGAGAGATTTTTTCAAAGAAAAAGTAATGCTGCATAAGTAATTCTAGGGAAGTTATGTTTTTTGTTTGAATGTATGGCAGTGGAAAAGGGGTTTGCCATCCCCTCTTTTTGGCAAGAGAGTAAAATGAGACGTATAATTAGTTAAGTATTACTATATCCTTTAGGGTGGAGTTAATCATAAGGATACCATGAAAAGAACAAGTTTATACATCAAATTCTCTTACCTACTCAACACCAAATTTGTGATGCTGAGATCTTTTATTTTGGAAGGAGTAAAAGGTTAAATTCCCTCCAAAACTCTCATAGCTCTATCCTGTTCTTGAAAAAGATAATGTTTCCTAATGAGTTTTAAAGGTTCATCCTCTTCTCTTTTCTTGATAACTCTCCCATTATAACAGTGTTAATTTGATCAAACCAAATATTCCCTTTTCTTTTTCGTAATTATGATTTTGGGGAAAAAAAATAGAAAGTGCTGTCACTGCCACTACATGGAACATCTGGATGTTCCCTTTTTCTCTTTTTGTTGAGGAGCAGGTTGGGTTAATTGATTGATGTTACTGTGTTCTCATGCTCCCCTGGAATTAAGGTTAGAATTTCATAGATGATGGACCTTTACAAGAACTCTTTCCATAGATCTGTCTTTATGCTGAATCTTAACTAATTTAAAACAATATTAGTGCTATACAAAATTGGGTGCCCAACTAACCTGTTGTAAGCAAAAATTTGAGTGACATGCTTATTATTAAAAGCACCCCAATGAGGAACCTGATGAATCCTTGACTTTTTCTGAGAAACTGTGTGAAAAGTAGGAGTCTAATGCATCATGTTCACAGGCACTTCTCGAAAACACTGGGCATGTTCTTTTACTTGAGAGGGGTGGAGATGTGAATTCTAACCTGATTTTCTTGTTTATGCCTTGATTCATGGTTGGTGGGGTTCAGTTTCCTGGGGACTACATATCCTTGATCTTTTAAATTTCACATCATTTTTTCTTGTTCTTATACAACATAATTGGACAATTCTTAACTGTCACAGATTTTCTGTTGAACTTCCAGATTACACTACCATATGATACAAAAGAATTGTCTAAGGCAACAAGGGATACAGCAGCAATTTATTTGGCTTGTGGTATAGATGCTTCAAAGGTCTTGCAGCTATTGATCCTTGATAATGCTGCTGACTCAGTAGTTTGAGTAGATATTTGGCATTGATGTTTATTAAATTAGTCTGATTATCCTGATATACCTGCAGGCTTCTGTATTTGTACAGTCTCATGTTCATGCACATGTCGAGCTTATGTGGCTTTTAAGTTCTGCCACGCCAATTGGTTGGCTTAACAGAATGATCCAGTTTAAAGAGAAATCCCGTAAGGCGGTGGGTGTGTAGCTCAATATTAACACTTGATATCCTGTTGCTTGAGCAGCTATTCCCATTCACATCAAGTTCTATGGAGTATTTTCTTTGGTTATACCATGTGCATCTTATCATTGACATTGGTATTTCCATGCATAAGATAACAGGTTGTTGTGGATGGAGTTCTGTGACTTCTGTCCAACCTGTAAACATGTATTAAAACTGACAGGAATTGAATATGTAAACTGTTTTCATCTATCACAAAAAAGAAAAAAAGAAAAAAGGTTCATCTAGCATAAAGAACAGTGTTCTGGCAATATCCAAGGATCCTTTCTTTTGAAAAACAAGAAACATCTAGTTTTTGTTTAGTGGAGGAAGCCAAATGGCAAAATGTTTATTTATTTATTTATTTTGCATATATCTTCTCAAAGCATGTCTAGTTGCATTCTGTATTACCATAGAACAACAATTATCATTACTAACCATCACTAGTGTCAACGCTTCACATTTAGTGTCAGGAGATGTAAGGTCTTCGTAGCAGACTCTACATTTTCTCTTACTTTATGCTATTGTTATAACCCTTTCTGCTGTTTGAACTAACTTTATATCATGGTTTTTTCCTCTGCAGGGGGATGAAAATGTCGGGGTTGCTCTTCTGACTTATCCAGTTCTTATGGCTTCTGATATTCTCTTGTATCAGGTGGTTTCCAACATGAGCACATATTTTGTGAAACTTTTATCTTTTAGAAGTTTTATAACAATATCTGGATCCTTTTGTAATTTAGTGTCACAGATAATGAGAAAGTAGGCGGTTGAGGAATTTTCTGACGCGCAATGAGTGTGATATGTTTGATCAGGATTAGTTATTGATTATCTCATTCTCTAGTCCTAATTTACCTTTCTGTTGGTGTAAAAATAGTAATCAACCTGAATGCAAAATCCTTATAAATTGCAGCATGCTTCTGCAGTCTGATTTTGTCCCAGTTGG